AAGTTTCTTCACCGCCATACAACTTTTTGCAAGTTTTCAACTTTTTCAGCTTTTTCAGCAGACAGCTTCAGCATTAAGGCATCCACACAGCATTTTCGCAGGAAATGCAAATTTTTCTAGTTCTAAAGTTGATTTTGCTGCACTTTTTGGAAAAAAATCATAGCGGTCCTGATCTCAGTGACCTCATTTACCTCCAAATGATAAAACCATGACATTACCTGATGCATATCATCAGCCTCCTGTTCCTGCTAACTGTTTGTTTGTTTTTGCTGCATGCGAACAAGGCTGATTGGCTCCCCAACTGGTTTAGATGCACATTTCTTTCTCTTCGTGCTGAAAATTGGAGAAATCCTCTTAGTTTAAATTACTGTTGTCCAATTTTGTGTGATTTGAGATGTTTTGTCGTTTAGTTATAGAAGTGTGTGTGTTACTCATGTCAGGATTTTTTTAGGAATAATAAACCTCCTCCAGTGGACAATGGTTAGTTTAGTTTTTTTTTCTTAATGCTGCTCTCTTTGATACATGCTAATAAATAATACTTAGATGTCCAGTAAATGTCTTATTTTTGTTTGGAAGTTTATGAAGCCTCATTTCTAACATTCACTGATATCATAGCACAGTGCTGTTTTCTTCTGTGTGGTTGTGTCGTGGTTTTTAAATTTCAACATCTGGACATGGACTGCATAAACTGTACTGAATAATCAAAATTTCTCTTCAAAGTACAAAAGTAATATACTTCTATTTATTTCTCACTCGTGGATGTGACCTAATTGCCTCTCTTCTTTAGGTTTCAGAGCGCAGCCTCCCTCCTCCTCCCCCACAGCAGCAGTCGCTCCATGACCAGGTCCTGGCTGAGATCAAGCAGGAGAGGAAGCTTAGACCAGTAGTTCCATCCAGCTCGAGGCGTAAGGGAACAATCTTTGATCCCGGAGTGTCGATAGATAAAACGAAATAAACAGAACAAATCAAAAGGAGGTTCAAAAGCTCTGCGTAGATTTGCATTTAGAGATTGTTGTTAAGACAGAAAGTGCCAAAGGAGCCCTGAGAGTCCTGGTTCACAGGCTTAAAGCGTGTGATACAAGTAAACCTAATTTCTGCTGTTTGGTATCCCTCCACTCAGTTTGGATAAGCTGGGAAAAGAGAGTTTGGATAGGTTTCATATTGCACATTTCACCATAGCATTTGCTTTTGCCCAAAAGAGATACCAGGTACCAAGAACTGGGTGATTAGATAAACTTTTCTTTTCAGTTTGATGTTTGGCGAAAACCAAACACACGCCATCAGCACAAATACCTCAAACTAACTTCAAGCACGGGATGATTTGTGCTCATTTTGCATCCACATTTTGCCCGGGTACTCTAAAAGTAAAGAATCAAAGTGCTGCGGTGATCCAGTCAAAGTCTAAACCTCGACGTGACTGAAATACCACAGAGAGCTGTGCATTAAAAACCTCAGTGAGCAATGCTGTAAAGAAGATTGGGCCAAAATTCTCCCACAATGGTGTAAGAGACTGATAGTCACAAAGACAGCAATTACAGTTATTTGAAG